TCTCGGGTGTAACCCGTCAGGGCCTGGCGCCTTTGTAATGTCCAATGCCCTGAGGAGCTCCTCAACTTCTAGGGGGGTGCCCCTAAATCCCCAGCTTCACCCAATCCCCCATGCAGATCTCTCCCATCCAGCTTTGGGGAGAACACAGAGGCAAAATAGTCGTTTAGCATCTGTGCCTGTTCCCTCGTATCAGTCACTGGATCTCCTTCCTCCTTATTTAGTGGTCCCACCACTTGTCTCCCCTTCCTCTTCCTATTTACATGCTGAAAGTGCTGTTTTTGTTGCTCTTGATATTCTTGGCAAGTCTCAGCTCGTAATCAGCCTTAGCCTTGAGAAGAATCCTTCTGCAACGGGCCTCCTCCTCCCGGTACGCCCGTTTGTCCATTTGCCCCAGTACCCATTTCCTACGGAGGTTCCTCTTACGCCCAAGGCATGTGGCTAAAGGTTGCATATCCGAACTTTCATTTTTAAAGGACATTTTCTTCTCCTATTCGCCCCCTTAACCCACCCGTTGACCCTGCAGGTGGGCTTGCGCCCCCCCCCTCGCTGGCCGTAGGCAGATCCCCCTGGGGGCCGTGTGCTCCCTCCTTTGGCAACTGTGACACACGCTTCCTGTTCATCCATCTTTGTGATTTTGAGGAACCTCCAAGGGTTTTAATCCTCTCGACTCACTTCTGCAGCTTCCTTCAAAGCAGGTCCCTCATTGTAGAAGTTTCCCCTGCTGGAATCAAACTCCACTGGGCTGGGCCTCTGCCTGGCCGCATGTCCTGATTGCGCAGCGGACGCCATTCCCAACAGCGCTTGCACTGCAGACTGTGCCCTGGGCACCCCGCCGAGGGGCGCATCCGCACTGCCCCCCCTCCGGGTGGTTCCAGAACCAGCCCTTCTCGGGCACAGCACTGGGTGACAGCGGGGAACTGGGCCTCTCTGCCAGAACTGGGAGACGCACTTGGCTGCCCTGTGGGAGCAGCGGCAGTCGCCCGATTAATCTGCCCGAGGCCTCCCCAATTCCATGCTCCACCTCAAGACCACCCTGAGCATCCTCATCTGGAGGACGAAGAGTTAGTCCCAGGGCCAAATTAATCGTGGAACCTGGTATTCGGAGCGCTTTGGTTCAGGAGTCCCTTTCGACTACTAAGCTGCTGAAAGCGATGCCCTTTTGGGCATCTGGGACAAGGCTTCTCCGCCACGCCAGTCTTTGGGTAGGAAAAACTTCTCCTTAGCCTGCAAGTTGGTACAAAGTAGACACGGCCCAGTGTGCCTTTCTACAGGCACAGATAATGGCCATTGTGCGGGCGAGCTGAGAATTACTGGCCTTCTGGCAGAAGGGGGGGAGGGCACTGGCCCTGCGGGGCGGCCGGGCAGCCCTGACCCAACCGCCCCTTTGAAGCGGCCCTTTGTACGGGAAGGAAACCCTGCCGGGGTGGCCTTTCGTGGTTGGGTCTAGGCAGGCCGTCTGAGACGGCTCAGCAGCAGATCACCTCCTCTTGCCCTGCCCTGCCCTGCGCCCCCGCACCCCCTGCCCACGCCCCCCGCTTCCTGCCAGGCCACCTCTGTCGCGCGAAGGGGCAGCAGGCAGCACAGCCCTAGGGCCATCCTCCGCACAGTCCCTGTGCGGGGGGGGGGGAGGGAGCAGGCCACGGCTCCGTGGCACTGGAAGGCATTTGGGAAAGATAAACACCTTCCCACACGCAACTGGAGACAAGCAGGAACAGCTGCGAGCGCCTGTCCCGCGGAAGGAGAGGCGGAAGTGCCGCTTTCCAGTGGGAGCCGAGTGTCCGCACCAGCTATCCTGCCGCCAGATCCAGACGGAGCATCAGGGTCATCTGCCCAAGGGAACGGCTCCCGAACGTTACATAAAAGTCGCCCCAACGTCCTCGCAAGCCAGCTGTCAAGAGCTGCCTGCCCTGCGGCTCCCCTGCTGCCAGGGGCTGCCAAAGGAGGATCTCCGCAGTCTGAGGGCCGGGCCGGGCCCCAACCTCTCCGGAAGAGAACCGGGATGGCAGATGCTGATCCCGAGGACCGAAGAGCCCTTGGACCGTCACCAGCTGCTGGGTTCTCCAGTCATGGCTGGGATACCTTCGCATTCCAGATGATCCAAGGAGAATCTGAGCTACTGCGCTATTTTGGCTTGGCCGCGGACGGTTGCGGTGCGACGCGGGTCGAGCCGAGCCGACTGTGGCAGGGGAAGGCGAGCACCGGGGCGTCTGAGGTGGCAGCACGCGGAGCTGGGTGCCGCTCCGCCTCGCCCAGCTGGTCAGCACAGACGGGCAGCCATGGTTCTCCCCGCCCTGTGTGGATGGGGGACGCTGAGGGAGCCACTCCTGGCGGCCCGCTCTGTTTCTCTTGACCATGTGCTTGCCAGGCCCCCAAGCGAACCCAGGAAGGTGTGGTGCCCACCTCGAGAAGGGCTGGGCCTGGCGGAGGACTGGCCTCCCACATGCTCCGGCAGGAGAGGCCTGCTCCCAGTGGCGCGGCCCCCTCCCCCCCAGAAGAGCACGGGTGGCCAGGCGATGCCGCCTGCAACGTGGGGCCTGCCCACCGTCAGCTCCCACACGTCTTCCCGGCTTTTTCTTGCCTTCAAGCCCGAGACCTTCTGCTGGCCGGCGCAAGAAGCTGTCTGCCCAGGAGCAGCCAGGTGGGGCTGCAGCAGCCCAGTGGAAGGTGAGGGAAGCTCCGGGCAGCTGCCCCACAGACCCTCGTCACACCCCTGAGCGGCCTCCCTCGCCTGGGCCGCCTCGCCTCACCACCAGCCCACTCCGCAGCCTGCCTCCTGTCTCTGCGTGCCAAGTGGAGACAGCCCCACAGCGGAGCCCCGAAGCAGCTCCCGGTGCTGTCCCCCAGTTCCCTCAGCCCCTCCCCCCACCCCAGCCCCCTTTCGGTGCAGAGAGCAGCGCCAGCCGGGGCAGCGCATTGAAGTGCTGAGAGTCCAACGTCGTTCTCGGAGTGATAATGGAGCAGGCCAGGCAGCAAGAGTCCCGGCCCAGCCCCTGGGGGCAACCGGGTGAGGGGGGAGCCTTCCCATCACCTCCTGCCAGACCCCCCTTTGCCCTCCTGACTCTTGGCAAACCGTGCAGGGAGGGCATGTGCAATGGGGGACCCCGAGGTGTTTCCAAGCTTCCCCCTGCCCCCCCGCAGCCTTTGCTCAGGGACCCGGCTGGCTGCTCGGCCTGAGTTCTAGCCGGCCTCTCTCTGGGGAGGGGGCTGTGCTTTGGCAGTGGGAGGAGAGCAGGCCTGGCCTTTGGGCTTCTGGGGTGGGGGGTGAGAAAGGGCCTCTGCTAAGGCCCTGTGGGGGGCTGCCTGCCCGGGGAAGCCCGGCGTGCGACGGGGGCCACAGACCACTCCCGGGCAGCAGCATTCGGGGGAGGTGCAGAGCATCTTCCTTCTCCAGGCAGCAGGCCGGGTTCAGCAGGCTGCCTGGGCCCCCCACACAGCCGTGGCACAGCAGGGCTGGGGCAGAAGGGGGCCCTGCTCTGCCCCCCTCCAGCCATGCCCCGCCCACAGGGCCGGTAGGCATCAGCAGGCAGTGCAGGGAAGCTGGATGCGCTGCCATATCACCTGGGCTCTGCAGAGGCTGCCCAGGAGCACCCCAGCCTTTCCATGAACAGCCGCCAAATTCAGCAGCTCTCCTAAGAACAGGGGCGTCAGGGGCACTTCTGGAGGGCCGCCCTTGCTTGAGCACCTCCTGGGGCCGTGCCTCCTCGGGGGGCCTGTTGGGACGGCCCTGGCCCCCTTCCTGGGGGGGGGGCAGCTGCAGCCAGGCCCTGACCCACCCCAGAGGCCGGCGAGCCCCCCGCCACTCCTCGCACGTGCGCGCCCGCGCATTCCAGCCCCGGAGGCCGCGACCTGCACAAAGCCGCCGCTCTTCCCACCCCGCCCCCTCCGACCGCCCTGCCCGGCCCGGCCCGAGGCGCCGCCGCTCTGGCCCCGTCGCGAGGAGGGAGCCCTCCGGGCGCCGCGCGGGGCCGAGCAGCAGGCGCGTGCCCGGCGGCACGACGCGCTGAGGCGGGCAAGCGTCGCGCGGCTCCCGAGGGCGCGAGGGGGGCCGTGGCCCCCGGCCGGACTCTGCCCTGTGGCGCAGGCGGCGGCGGGGGGGGGGCCTCGCGGCGCCTGCCGGGCCCAGGTCCCCGTCGGGACGGCGGCGGGGCGAAGGCCTGGTCCCGCTCCGCGCCGCCGCCTGCCACGGAGGAGCGGACCGCGCAGGCCGAGTCTGCCAGGCGTCCATCGGGCCATCCCAGGCGGCTCCTTGCCCGCCCCCATGACACAGCAGCTGCGCGGCGCGGCTCCATTAGCAGCAACCGGGACGAGCGGCAGCTGCGCCCCGATCGATCGGCGGCTCTCGCATCAATAATGGAGGAGCGCCGGGCCGTCCTTGGGCGGCTGCCCCTCCGCCCTCGGCCCGCCCGGCGTCGCCGCGGTGGGGGAGGAACGCGCTTTCTCCAGACGAGCCCCGACCCGCCCGAGCTCCGCGCCGGCCTGGCCCAGCCGCGGGCGGCCTGCGTGTGCGCATCCTCGGGCGGTCCGCAGGGAGGCGGCCCTCCCGGTGGCAGCGGGGCGCGAGACGGCCGTCTGACCTGCGCCCCCCCGGCCCTCTCGGGGAGCTCGCCCAGGCGCCCGCTGGCCCGGGGGACCCTGACGGGGCTGGGACGGGGAGAGCCGGTGAGCTAACGTCTTCCCAGACACATGCAGCAAGTCGGGGGGGGGGGGGCTTGTCCGCTCCGGTCCCCCCAACTCTCGGAAACGTGGGTGAGGCTCGCCGAGCCCGCGCTCCGCCGCTTTGCGCCCCGGTGCGCCGCCTGCCCCGAGGCGCGTTCTCGGACGCCGGAGACGGGCGCCGAGGAGGAGCGGCGCCCACCTGGCCCGCCGCGCACTCGGGGGCTTGCCGGACGAGCCGGTGGGCCGCGCCGCGCCGGGGTGGGGCCGCCCGAGCGCCAGGCGCCCGCAACGTGCAGCCCCCTCTCCGCCGGCGCGCGGGCCCCGCGGGCGCCGCCGGGACTCACCTCGTCCGTTGGCCTTGATGAACTGGACGGCCGTCTCCGGGCCGCCGCCCTCGTCGCCCGCGCCCGCGCTGCCGTTGCTCTCGCGGGGCGCGTAGATGTGGTAGCCCACGGTGAGGCTGGCGTCGCGCAGCTCCTCGTAGACGCCCTCGATGGTGAAGTAGAAGGGCCGGTCGTCCGTCTTGCGGTCCACGTAGAGCAGGGCGGCGCGGGAGCTCCAGTTGAAGTGCTCGTGCAGGCGGGCCACGAAGGCGCCGAGCTTGGGCGCCGACGGGCCGGTGCGCACCAGCGTGCTGAAGTGCTCCTTCTTGTGGCTGAAGTCCGAGGCCACGGCGCCGGCGGTGAGGAGCGGCAGGCGCCAGTGCGAGGCGAAGCGCCCCACCGAGGCGGCCGGGTAGACGCAGCCGGGCCCGAGCAGCACGTCCGGGTCGTTGTAGAGCTTCAGGTCCACGGCTTTCAGCGGCGCCACCGACTCCGAGCAGGCGCCGTTCAGCTCCGACGTGGCGAACACGGTCCGCATCGACAGCCCGGCGGCGCGCAGCTTCGGCTCCAACGCCTCGAGGGCCAGGTCCACGGCGGGGCCCACCCGCGGCAGGGCCCACGGGTAGCTGGGGTTGTGCTCCGGCAGCACCAGGGCCACCGTCACCACCGTCGCGGCCGCGGCGCTGCTGCCGTTGGCGCCCTCGGGGCCCGGCGCGGCTGCGGAGGGCGGCAAGGCCGAGGCGAGCAGCAGCAGCAGCAGCAGAGGCGGCGGCGGCGAGGCCATGGAAGGGGCGGTCGCCCTCGCCCGGGAAGCGGGGTTCGCTGCTCCTCCGCTTACGGCGGCTCCTCCGCTGCCGCCCGCTCTCCCGCAGCCCGCGCGCTTCGCTGCTGCCCCGCCGCCGCCGAATCCTTACTGCGGGCTGGCTGCCCCGCGCTCCCCCGGAGAGGCCGCCCCCTCCGCGGCCAGCCGCTGCCGCCCACCTTGCGCCTCCCTCCGGACGCGATGCCAGCGACCGAGCATGCCGTGGGGGACAGCGCCCCCTGGCGCCTCCCCGCACACGCCTAGGCGGGGGCGCAGCCCCAGGAGCGGTTTGGTAGCGCTGCCTCCTGGCCGGCGGGCGCGCCCGGCTGCCCGCAGGGGCGCTGAGCGCTGCCCTGCTCAGTCGCCCTGGGCGGCTCCGGCTCGGCTGCTGCGGGGCGCCACCCTCCGCCATCTCTCCTGCTCTTATCTGCGACGGCTCAGCTTCGCGGCCTTCCGCCATGCTCTTCCAGCCGCGGTCCCACCGCTCGCGCGTCCCCGCAGGAACACCGCTGCCCGCCCGCCCGCAGGTAGGAAGGCGCGCCTCTCGAAGGGGCGCGGGAAGAGCCGGGCCGCCCCCGTGAGCCGCGCGCCCAGTGCTGCCTGGGTGGTGGCCCGGGTCGGCACAGCGGCTGCCGCCTGCCCGGGAGCACGGCAGCTCGCGGGGAAGCCCCGGCTCTGCGCGGGAGGGAGCGAGGGCGAGGCTGGCGCAGAGGTGCCCGCGCAGCTCGCCCTCCCGATTGCGCCGGCGCCGTCCCATCCCTGGAAGCGCGCAGAGCCGCGCTCCAACTGCCCGCCTGCCCAAGGGCGCCGCGGTGCGGGACCGAAGGCCGCGGAGCGCGAGTAGGGCAGGCCGCTCCCGTGGGGCCTCTCCCGTAGAGGAGGGAGAGCCAGGCGGGAAGCGGCGACTGTCAAAGGAGGCGGTGGGCCGAAGCGCAGGAGGTCGCGGCTTTTCCCTCCGGATGTGAGGCTGCGGACGGCAAGTTCCGCGCGGTTGACCTGCGGGGCGGGCGGGTCCGTTTGCCCGTGGCCGGATCCGTCTTCTCAGGCTGATCTTGAACTACCTCGCAGGACTCCCACTCGGGTCTGGGAGGACCAAACAATTGCCCCCTGGCCGCGCATTTCCCGAAAACGCGCTGCTCTGCTGGCAAGTGCCCGCCCTGCGGCGGTTTCTGGCGCCAGGCTGGGCCGGGCTGGGTCATGAAACGGGGGGGGGGGGGGGGGGGGAGCGCTCCTGCGCTCGCTCCCCGCGCAGCTCAGCCCAGCAGGCGCTTGTCGTCGTGCAAGGAAGACGCCGGCATTGGCTCCTGGAGCCAGCCCCGCGTGCGGGGGGACCCGGAGGGCCTTCGGGGTGCCCCTCCAGAGCAGGAGGCGGCCCGAAGCAGCACGTCGGGCGGCTTGGCCGGGGCTTCCTTCCGCTCCTCTTGCGCAGATGCCCCTCTGACCGGGGAAGAGCTTGCGCCTCGGAGCGCGCGGAGCTCGGCGCTGGACACGCGAGCCTGGGGAGGGCCGGGCCCGGCTGGCCAACTCGCGCGCCCCCGGGCGCCAGCCGCAATCGCGAGCGGCATGGCCGGGAGAGGTCCGCGGCAGCGCCTGCCCCGCGGAAGGGGCCCCTGTCCAGGCCGCTGCCTCGACGGGCGCCTTTCCGTGGGCGGCGCGGCCGGGGACGCTCCTCTTTCCGAGGTGACTGGGATGCGCCTCCCCGCGGACGCCGGGACGCAGAGGCGCGGGCAGGGGGAGCCGCGAGCGCGGCTGCCTCCCCGCCCCTTCTCCCACGCGGCGCAAGCGGTGGCGGGCAAGGGCGAGCGGGGCGAGCAGCGCCGGCCCGGTCCGCTGTGCTCGGAGCAGCGCAGTCAGCCCAGGCGCGCGGGGGTGGGGGCAGGGAGCCCCCCGGCCGAGAGGAAGGGCTCCTGGAAGGGGGGCTGCAGAGGGTTTTCCCCTGCCACGCCCTGCCAGGCAGGCTCCTCTCTGGAGGCGCCCCCCTGCCACCGTGCGCGGGGAGATCGCGGGCTCGAGCGCCGGGAAGCCTGGAAAGCGGTAGATTTGGGGCTGGGGCGGCAGGAGCAGAGCAGGGGCGGCGGAGGAGGCTGCGCGCGCCCTGGCTGCCCCGGCCGGCCGGCCCGCCCTACGGCCCGCCTCTCCCGCCCGGCCCGAGCCGAAGGCTGAGCGGCGAACGGCACGGACCGGCGGCCTCCTCCCGGCCCCGAGGCAGAGCGTCCCGCCGGTCCTCTGCGGCGCGGCACCCGGGCGGCCGCCTCTCTGCGCCTGGTGCGGCCCGACCCGTCTCAAAGGGGCGCCGGAAGCCCCCCGGAACGCCTGCCACGCGTAGCCCTTGCCGGGCAAGCCGCTTCCAGGCGGAGACACCGCCTCCGCGTCCCTGCGCCGCGCCCCACGCTGGCCAGCGCCTTTCCCGGCAGGGGCCGGAGCGACGCCCGCTGAGGCCTCCCGCGTTTGGGTGCGGCGTGGCGAGGAGTGCGCGGGCCCCGGCCCGGCCCGCGGAAGGCGGCCGAGGGCTCCTGCGGGCGGGGGTGCTTGTGAGGCCGCCACGCCCGTGCGCTCTCCTGCACCGGCCGGTTCTGCCGGGCCGCCTGCTCCGCGGCCCTCTTCTCCGCCCGCCGGAGCCCGACAGACGGGAGCTGCGCCGCGCTGCAGCAGCCGGCTGGGCCACGCGGGGCTCTCCTGCTCTGGGGCGCAGGGAGGGCTCCCCGCCTGGGCACCGGAGCCAGGCTGGCCCCCCCGGGATCGCTCGCCTCTGGGCTCCTTGCGGGTGCTGAAGGCGGCCGGACGTGAGCCCCCAGCCGTGCGGGTGGCAAAGGTGTCGAGGGGGCCCCCCTTCCGGGGGCGTGGGGCTGGCGCATGGGGGCTGGCACCGCGGCGTCTCCTCGGAGGCCGGGATCTTGCTGAGAGGGAGGCGAGCGTTTGAGCACCTCTGCTGCATCGCACCCCCTGACTGGCTGGCTTGGTGCCACAGGTGTCCTACTTCTTGTCGCCCCCTCCAACTTTCCCACCTTTTTTGTTAACCCCTGGGATCAAATCCCCCCCTCCGTGTACACCCCTTTTTCAAGACAAGAGGTCCTTGGGAAGTGTCCCCCGGAGACACGCAGAGACTTTAGAGCAGACGCGCATTGGCACGCGCAGAGCTGTGCTTCCCCACCCCATGCGGGTCTGAGCCCCTGACCTCCCCAGACCTCAGGCAGGGGCTGACTCCCCCCCCCCCAATCCAGCAGAGCTCTGCAGAGCCAGAGGGCCCCGCCTCCCTGCCCCAGCCCTGTCTGCGCTGGAGTTTGCCCGTGCGCGGCCGTGCCATCCCAGCTCCCTGCCGAGGACCTGGGCAGGTGCGCCCTCCACAACTCTGGGCTGCCAGCGAGAGAAGGCAGGGCTCATGCGGAAGTGGAAAGCGGCCCTGGGCCGGTCGGCCGGGCCGGCCAGCAGTGGAGGCGCCATCAGCTCCCTCCTAGGTGCATGGCGGGTCATGGGGCTGGGCAGGAGGGGAAGCTCGGGGGGAGAGCAGTCCCCTTTGGTGGCCCAACTCCATCCGATGTGTCCCCCGTTTTTCTTGGCGTGGCTTCCACCATGCCAGGAACCCCCAGTGGACTCGGCAGACGCTGTGTTTCCACTTACTCGGAAGCGTTCTGGGATTAGGAGCGGTCAAGCTTGCTGGGGACACCAAGTGATCCGGGGGGGCCAAGAAGTTTTCTTCAGCTTGGAAGTGAGAGCCTCAGGACGCAGGTGCCCACCTAAAGCGAGAAGCTGGGCGCACTTCGCGCTGCCAGGCATCCTACGCTTCGTGTCGCTTGCCTCCTCTCCTCCCTTGCTGCTGCCCCCTGGTGGCCACTGGTGGAAGCGTCACTCCCCATTCTTAAACCCAGCCCTCCTCCAGAGACGTGGAGTCCTGACTCTAGACTGGGTCAGACGCTCACATAGCCCAGCATCCTGTTAACACAGAAGTCCCCACAGGAAGCCTGCCAACACATGAGGGCGTCCCGCACCTACTTGTCCCCACAGCCGGTGCGCACAAGCACGTGTCCTCTGGTGCTGGGGACAAAGCATCGCCCCATGACCGGCAGCCCCGGGTAGGTTGCCCCCCATGAATCTATCCAGCCCCTTCAACAGCCGTGCCAGCTGGCGGCTGTCACCTCATCCAGCATCAGCATCTACCCGCGATGCCACTTCTCTGGGGCAGCCCTGAGGGCTCCTTGACTCGTGGCCTATTTTTTCTGCACCCCCGTTTGGGTACTTCCCACAACCAAATGCTTTCCAGAGTTCACAGGTTTCCCCGAGAGATCAGTCCTGGGGCAGGCAGCCTCCTTCAGGTGAAAGGCAGAATCCGGTTTGGAGAAGGGCCCTGCTGCACTGGCAGGTGGGACCAGATCGCTGTTCTTGTACTGCCCGCTTTGGTAAAAAATTGGTACCAAACAGCTATGAAGACTCACAGGCCGCATGTAGTTTGGAACAAGCAGAATTTATGGAACTTCAGCAGCAAACTGCTGGGAGGGGTTGCGGCTGCACCTCCAGGTGTGCAGGTGTCCCAGCAGGGGCGGGGGCTCATGCTCAGGGCAGTGCATGTTGGCCCACGAGAGCCAGCTGCTCTGCTCGGTCTCAGGAGGGGCACATCAGCTCTTGAGGATGGGGGAAAGCACTGCACACAAGCTGGAAAACCTCCCATCCTGCGCTTCCTCCTCGTGACAATTTTCAAGGATCTCTTCTCAATCATCCCAGAGTGCAGGACATGGAATGACAGGCTCAAGTTACAGGAGGGAAGGTTCTGGCCAGATGTCCAGAACATTTTCCAGCTTTCCATAGAGCACAGCAAGGGAGCCAGTTCCCGTGGGAGGCGGTGGGCTCTCGCACACGGCGCCAGACGGGCCCCTGCGGGGGGCTCGAGTGGGAGTCCTGCACGGAGCGGCGGCCTGGACCCTCGGGCCCTTCCAGCTCCACAATTCGATGATTCTTGGCTTCAGCCTTCCTGACATCCTTGCAATTTT